GAGCTCTGTGTAGACCTGGTTCAGAAGGGTTGGACTTCCTGCTTTAGCGATTCCCTCAAACACACACTGGAACTTTTTCTTCAAATCAAATCTATGTTTTTGTTGATAAACTGGTGGAGGAAGTGCTAATGACACAAAAACAAAAATCAGGAAGGGAACAAAATACTCTTATGTAGATTATTTGAATAAATGTGATTCTATCTCTTCAGACATCAGTAAATGTCTGATTTATCCATCAGGTCAAATCTTTGTAGAAATCCTCTTACTGCTCTGCAGACGGTCAGCCAGCTCCTCCTGCTTCATCCTCCTCAGGAAGTTCAGTGTGATCTTCATCAGTGCCTCTCTGTTGCTCCTCCTCTGCTCTTCATCATCACCTCTCAACACCTCATCATCCTCTCTCTGACTCTCTGAGCATTCTGGGTAATCTGGACTCAGAACCTTCTGGACCTTCTTCAGCTCATTCTTCACAAAAGTGACAATGTTGTCCTCCAGCAGCTGGAACAGAATAATATTATGAAGGAAACATCAGACTGAAATCATGGAGCCAAACATCAGATTCATGTTGAACAGACTGACAGTCCTCTGGTCTACAAAGTGCAGCCGAGAGATGACTGTGAACAGAACTCATGGAAAAGCAGTTGTTCATGTTCAGACCATAAATATGAAGTCCAGATGTGTTTGATGCTGCTGGGCAGACGGACCACTGGGAACTTCTGAGCTCTGCTGGTCCACACTGGGGAGGAACCAGGAAAATTATCCAGCATTTTTCAGAAAGCAAATCACCAAGAGTTTCACAGTAAAATTCTTAAAGCAGAAAAACAACACACCAAGTGAACTCATTACAAAGTTTAAAAGAAGAAGGTGAAGTTAAAAATTGAAGACCAGTTACGTCAGAATCACCCAGTAGACATTTTTAAAAGTAGGTTTTGAAATGGGACTTCAAAATGCCCACACTCTCCTCAGAACTGATGCTGGAGCATCTTTTAACCAAATAAATGTTATTACAAAATATGTTTTCAAGGGCAACACAGCTGAAACTTTATCAAGTTAACTCTTTCACCTCATTTCTATCCTGTAACTCTGTAGAGTTGGTAGATAACGTTCATTATAAAATTTCAGACATTCTTGATTCCATTAAAGTGAAGTTTGTGTCTTCACTTGGAGTCAAAGTGAAGACACTTTGAGGATGTTTCCATGGAGATTGCTTCCACTTTAATGGAATCAACTAGTAAGAAATGTGAAGTCATGTCGAAATGCTGAGCAAAAATGGTGCAAAACTTTGCTCTAGGGTCACTAGAGAGACTGCAATGCTATCATTCAACACTAAAACTTTCAAGACAATTATTTTTTTGCTGAAATTATTAACAAGAACATCAATAATAATCTTGCCTTGTTTGCCACAGTTGGTAGATTTACAAATTCTCATGTGACTATCATCTGAGCTCCACTCTCCCAGAGTCTACATTAAATTTTATAACTTTTTACAGAGAAGATTTGAAAAATTATAGTTCATCTGAACATCCACATAAAATCCAGTACCAATGCTAAGCACAAAGATAAAAAACATAGAGAAAAGATTTTCATTCTGTGGCTGATGATGACAGACATGAAGATCGGCCAAAGCTGAGATTTTATGTTATAGTTTAACTTCTAGGTTATGTATATTGTGTTGTAACATATTGGTCATCTAAGAATAAAAATGGTCATATTAGTATTGTAACTATATACTTATTAGGGATGCACATTATTGGATTATTGACAGATAACTGACAAGCCAATATGTTTCAAATCATTTGGCCGATAGCAGAAACGTATGAAAATAGAAATGTGAGAAAAAGAGCTGAGCTCACATTAAGCACGCTGAAATAAGAACATTTCAGACTGGCTCGATTTACACAGATACAGTAATAAGATACAACTCACCTCTGTGATGGTGGAGATCCAGAAGATTTAAATAGAAGAGGGGAATCCTTGGAACAGTTGCTCTTAAAGGACACACAGCTGGGTTCTGGTTCATAATAAAACCTGACAGAAAAAACTATTAAAACCCATTCTGCTGAGTTTTACTTTAAAATTAATTTTTGGTATGATTAAAAGTAAAATAAAATTTTGAGAGTCAGAAGAGTAATCCTTCTTTATAGGAAGAATAATGGTGAACTCATGTTGGTCATCAAGATCCAGGAAATGTGTTGGAAGTTGGCGAGTTTTTCCAGATGTGTCCTGCTGGAACACAGAGGTCTAACCAACAGGCTGGTGTCATTCAACTGCTTCTGCAACATTTATATGGTGTTTGGAAGAACACAGCGATACTATGCTGAGCTGCTTCTGTTCAGTCTGGAAGAAGCACCAGCAGCTTCATCTGTTTTGGTCTGATAGTGTGTGAATGCTGTGTGAAAAGGGCTGTGGACAGCTAGAGCTAGTGATCTCACCTTTGACCTTTGCTCTGGCTCTCATCTTCCCCACACAGAGTGGTTTTAGAGGGAAGGTCTCCCTCCTCTCTGTCCTCACACTGATCCATGCTGCTGAATTCACATCAGCTCACACACACCTGCCTTCACCTGCAGAGGAAACACACATCATTCATCACTAACCAACAAGCTGGTGTCCCTCAGCTGCTTCTGTAACATTAACTTGGTGTTTGGAAGAACACACTGATGCCATGCTGAGCTGCTTCTGTTCAGTCTGGATGAAGCTGGACGAACCTGCCATCAGCCCCTGTGCTTCTACTATCAGACCACTAGATGGAGTTATGGAGCAACATTTCCAGTCACTGATTCACTCTGAGTAAACAGGAGATATGTATTTCACAATCATCAACTCTAGAAATGAATTATCTATTCCATCAAAGCTGAGAAATTTAATAATCTGATAAATCAAACACATTTTAAGAGCAATGCGTTTTGGGTTTTTTCAAAGATCAGTTCACAGGAAGCAGCAGGAAGCTGTTGAGTCTCATATTAATGGTGGAGAACAGAATTTGATTCTAGCAAATAAAAGACATGAAGCAGTTTGTTCCTAGGAGAAAAAGCAACATTAGCTCAGCATCATGTTGCTTGATTTCAGGTCACCAATAATCCAATCCATTGGTCTTCAAACAGTGGAAATAAATCTTTGTGTTGAAGTGAAGGTTCTCTAAACATCAGAGCACAGACAAACAGGAAAGCTTCTGAAGACAAAGTTCAAATAGGGAAAAAAAAAGCAAACTTACAAGTTGTTCAAATGGTCCAAAGAGTTGAAGAGAAATAACAACAGAATGAGACCCAACAGAATCACAGTAGAACTGGACTGGTTTCTATTTGAATGTGATGAGATCAAACTGCAATAGAAACAAAGAGACACTTCTGCTCCTGTACTGGTGATGTTGCAGTTTTGGTTCCTTTCTGGTTGATGTGGTTGAGGAACAAAGGAAATGATCATTCCTGATCAGAAGCTTCATCCTCTACAGTTTATTAAATAAATGAACAAAAACAGAACAACATACAATCTACTGTGCTTAAAGAAGGCTACGGCCTGAGGAACTGTAAATGGGCAAGAGCCGTTCTGATTGTGGCTGTCACAGTCAAGTGTGCCTGTAGGATACTATCAGACTACTGGACCTAACCCACAAGAACACAACCACATCTTTAACGCGCATCATGTGCGTGTCACACAAAGCCATTACCGGCCACATGCGCAGAATGAGTATGACTCACAAGAACAGCAGATCTAATCCGCTTTTTTCTGCAGACCAGATTTAAGTTCATCTTGACAAACTACAGCAAGGTGATCTAAATTAACACAAAAAGTTAAATCAGGAAAGAAAGAAAAAAACTTAATACTATTTAAATAAATGTGATTCTATCTCTTCAGACATCAGTAAATGTCTGATTTATCCATCAGGTTAAATCTTTGTAGAAATCCTCTTACTGCTCTGCAGACAGTCAGCCAGATTCTCCTGCTTCATCCTCCTCAGGAAGTTCAGTGTGATCTTCATCAGTGCCTCTCTGCTGTTCCTCCTCTGCTCTTCATCCTCACCTTCCACCATCTCTTTGGTTATTTTTTAATGATTCTCTTCATTTACCAACCAAACCTTTGTTCTTAAAGGAACAGAAGCAAATTTTAGAATGATCCACAAATGAACATGTTCTCCAAACATCAGAGAAACAAAGTTCCTGAAGACAAAGTTTAAGCAGGAAGCAAAGCAAACTCACAGTTTGTTCAAACTGTCCAAAGAGTTGAAGAAGAACATCTGAATAACAGACTCTCAATTGATCTGCTTCTTGGAAGGAGGTGGAACCTTCCCTGTGATGGAGGTGGGACAGGTAGGTGGGCAGGACAACACGAGTAGCATGTGTTCCTGGAAGCTGCATGATTCCAAGTTTCTAATGAGGTGTCCTCTGACATGGCTTTGACTGTCATTAGTGGAGAAAACAAAGAAAAGAGAAGAAAGGACTGGGAAAAAGTCTCACTGGTATAAAGTCCATCAGCCACCATATCAGAACAGAATCCAGTTTCTAAAGGTTCTGAAACCGATCTGCTAAAATGTGGTTCTGAGTGGGACCAGTGCATTCTCCATGCTGACAGTGCATATCTGTGTCCTGAAGGATCCAGTTATTTACGGGACATCTTCACCCTACAGCTGATTCTGGAGTTTAACAGGAAGTGAGGCATGCCAGCAGCTCCAAGTAAAGCTGAGAGCAGATTCATTCAGATCATGTCCATGGATATCCTGCTGGATGCACACTGACCCTAACCCTATCCATAACCCTAAAAGCTGAAGTTTTTTTTCTGAGATCCATGGGAAAAATATTCAGCTGTACATATTAAAAAGAAACGCAGACTGAATGTTGAGATTTTTATGAAAAAATAACACATTATTATCTGCAGATATATGCCAATTTTACTAGAAAACAATATTATTGTAATTTTTATCCATTACTACCACATAACTAAGAAATTTTCTGCTAAAAAAAATAGAATATTAGTAAAACAAATCAAATTTATGTGATGTAAAATTGTTTGAGAAAACTCATTCTTGTACGTTGTAGTTAGTTCCCCACCAGGCCACTAGATGGCGGACGCGCGCAGCCGGATGGCTGGGTGTGCTAAAGACGCTGAGCTGCAGTCATCACTGACTCACTCCATCATCATCGGCTTTAACTGGAGTAAATATTTACTGCGATTAAAATACATCGATTCCAACCAGATCAAAGTCACATTTACTGACCGGTTTAACTCTTCTGCACCTAAATAACAGCGTTTTTTCTCCAAGCGGTAGGTCTTTGTTCATACTTGAATCATTTATTAGTTGTAAACATACAAATGGAGGAAAAAAGAAGGAGTTAGCGGATAAACAGCGTGTTACCTGCATCTTACGTTTAGAAATTGATCAAAATGGTAACATTTTTGCTCTGTATTAGTCTGGGGCTGTAATGTGAGGAGCATTTTTTATTCCTTTTGCGTTTCTTTCTGCTTTTACTGCGCAACATTTGCGTAAATTAGATTTGCCCCCTGTTGGTCTGTTCTGCCTCCCACCACAGCTCCTCCCTGCAGGATGATTCTCAGACAGCATGATCTGGAAATCATTTCTGAAGCCTTTATTGAACAAATGTATAAGCAAAAACAAATTTACATTTTCATCTGACGTTATAATATTAGCTTTAGTTTTGACACATTTAAAGAAAGGCATGTTCATTTTGATCATTTTTAATTCAATCAGCTTTATTACATTTGTTTTTTAGTCAAAAACAGGATCAACAAACATGTTCTACACCTGTGGTCCCAACGAAGCCATGGTGGTGTCAGGTAACAAGCCCATCTGTCTCTGCATGGATAGCCACTACTTGTACTAGAAATTCAATTGTTTATGGGTCTTGTCAGGGAAATGTTTTATTGTTTATTTGTTGTAATTGAATAAAAAGCTTTGTGAAGCCACTTCTTTGTTAAAGTACAAATATCAGAGAACCTGATACATAAGAAATAAAATGTGTGGATGACATAGACCTGTAGTTACATATATGTCCATGTCTGATCTGTAATGATTGCTCTGTCTGGTCTTTTCCTCTCAGGTTTCTGTCGTTCTCCTCCGGTGATGATCGCTGGAGGCCGAGTGTTTGTCTTCCCGTGCATTCAACAGATACAGAGGTAAAGAAACAACTTAGCATTATTACTGCAACTTTAATTTTTGTAAAAAAAAAACAAAGAAACAAAATAAACATTTATTTTTGCTAAACAAAATCAAAAAGACAAATTCTTTATTTTAAGTTGTACTTTATTTAGTTCATGTTTTATTTTTATTTATACCATTATACATAAATTATTCTCTATTTTAACTGTTATTTTCAGTGCTTTTTAAATTAGGATGTAAGCAGACACTACTCGCGTCTACCAGTTGACATTCAGCTCCTGTCCATTAATCTCAGTCCGTAGAACCATAAGAATCAATTTAAATTTTCAGAGTAGCAGCTGGTTTTCACTTCCTGCTGCTCAGTGTTTGTAGCATCGTCTGACAGAAACAAGCCGGAAATAAACCCCATTAATGGGCTCCATTAGAACCATTTCTCCTCTACGCCTCTGTCTGCTCTGCAGGATTTCTCTGAACACTCTGACTCTGAATGTGAAGAGCGATAAGGTCTACACCCGCCATGGGGTTCCCATCTCTGTTACCGGCATCGCTCAGGTCAGTCTGTTAGCTTCAAACAGCTCCATGTTGTTTTACTCTGGTTAAACAAAAATAAAAATCTTACTTAAAGGTAGCTTTTGTGAATCACTGGAAAGGTAATTTAAATGCTTTAAAGAGTTTAATGTATTTGTATCTAGTAGAAGGGTTTGTGATATGAGACTTTTGTCAAAGCATTTTCATATATATTTAATGTTGTTTATTTATAGCAGTGATAATGGTGGATTATTGTTTCCATCTGAATGTTACAGCCAACTACTTTTTCTGAGGCCACTTGTGCCTAAAAAGTTTTTAAAAGTTAGATTTGAAATTGGAAGTGGTGTTTGACCAAATCCTGTTTCTCTTGAAATCTATCATAATCTCCTTTATTTAGTTCACGTATAAGATTATTGTTGCCTCCATAACACAAAGTGGTCCAGCAACTCCACTTAATCTGAAGTTTGAGGTGTACAGAGTGAAACTGAGTGGTCAGAGAACAGTCCCCTGTGGTCCTGGTCTGCTAACCACCTGGTCAGGAGATTCTCCTCCTGCAGTGATAAATATGCCTCTGTTCCCTGCAGATGAAGATCCAGGGCCAGAACAAGCAGATGCTGGCTGCAGCCTGCCAGATGTTCATGGGGAAGTCTGAGGCTGAAATCGCTCACATCGCCCTGGAGACGCTGGAGGGACACCAGCGGGCCATCATCGCCCACCTGACTGTAGAGGTATGGAAACCCTCACCCTGTCTTAAGAGATTCTGGCTTTCATTTTAGCTTTTCTGATGCTGATGTCACTCTGTAAAGGATGCTTCTATGATCTGCTGTTTTTAGGAGATCTACAAGGACAGGAAGAAGTTCTCAGAGCAGGTTTTTAAGGTGGCCTCCTCCGATCTGGTCAACATGGGGATCAGCGTGGTCAGCTACACTCTCAAGGATGTCCACGATGATCAGGTTTCTAACTACAGTTCCATACAGAAAAGGATGAATCAGGGGAAGTCCAGATGTAATCAGTGTTTTCTCCGCTGCTGTTGGTCCTCAGGATTATCTGCACTCGCTGGGAAAAGCTCGAACCGCCCAGGTCCAGAAGGACGCTCGCATCGGAGAGGCTCTGAACAAGAGAGACGCAGTGATCAGGGTCAGACGTGTCATACATCTGGAAACCCCGTCCATCATGCCTGCAAATGGCCTTTTTTTAAAAGCCTTTACACTCCAGTTAACAATTAATTGATTACTAAACTAGCTGACAGTTGTCTCAATAATCAATTCATCATGATTAATCCGTTTCATCCCTAATTCTGACTCCTCATTTCTGCTCCTCTCCTCAGGAAGCCCACGCTATGCAGGAGAAAATCTCGGCTCAGTACAGGAACGAGATCGACATGGCGAAGGCCCAACGCGACTACGAGCTGAAGAAGGCAGCCTACGACATGGAAGTCAACACCAAGAAGGCGGAGTCAGAGATGGCTTTTCAGCTGCAGGTACGCAGCTGATGTGTGTCACATTGAAACCGGTGGTATGGTTCACTGCGTACGGACGGACTGACGTTGTTTTTCTGGTTCCCAGGTTGCAAAGACGAAGCAGCGCATTGAGGAGGAGAAGATGCAGGTCCAGGTGGTGGAGCGCGCTCAGCAGATCATGCTGCAGGAGCAGGAGATCACCCGCAGGGAGAAGGAGCTGGAGGCCAAGGTGAAGAAACCGGCCGAGGCCGAGCGGTACCGCCTGGAGAAACTGGCTGAGGCGCAGCGGTACGATGGAGTTTTACTCTGACACTCTATTAACTGTCACAATAAATTAAAATTATTATCATTATATAAAATTTATGACAATAAATGATAAATAATATGGTAAATGTCCATCCCTAGTCTGAATTAGCCTCTCTGACTGTTTCTTTCATTGTCTCTGCAGAATGAAGATGATCATGGAGGCAGAGGCTGAAGCTGAGTCTATCAGGGTGAGTCAGTCTAGACAGGAACGGGGAAATCGAGCTGTGAAGGTGCAGATTCTCATCAGATAAATATCCACTGCCTCCCTCTTTCCTTTCCAAGTAAACTTATAAAACCTGAGGCTCCACCTGGAAAACCAAATCCCAGTTTTAGAGCCTTTGTTTGGTTTGTCCAATAAAATATATTTCTGAAATCTGCAAAGTGTCTTTCAGCTTTCAGAAATAGATGAAGATGAGTTGAAACACAGCAATGAATATGTTTTGTACAAATAAATTGTTTGACTGGTTTTTCTTCCTAATCTATATGTTAATCATGTTTTCTGTTAACTTCTGTACCAGTAAGCCTTTCATGTTGACCTGTCCAGGTTAAAGGTGAGGCTGAGGCGTTTGCGGTGGAGGCCAAAGGTCGCGCTGAGGCGGAGCAGATGGCGAAGAAGGCCGAAGCCTTCAGGGAGTACAAGGATGGAGCCATGGTGGACATGCTGCTGGAGAAACTGCCTCTGGTGAGAGACGTGTTGACACTTATTCTGTTATTTTTACCTAAATTTAATTGCAGTTCAGGTCACATGTGAATTTGTGTTTTTTTAAGATGCTCTTTTTATCATTTAAATAAGAAAATTATTATAGAAAAGCATATTCAGAGAGATAAAAAAAAAAAACTACTTCTAAACTGCTATTCAGGGTCACTAATTTCTTCCCATTTTTATTTTGCATGTTGGAACTTTGATAAGCTTAGAAACTGTTTAAAAGTTTTATTTTAAAATGTTGTGACTTCTCCTCTCCACCAGATGGCAGAAGAGATCAGCAGGCCTCTGTGTGAAGCCAACAAAGTGACCATGGTGTCCAGTGGAGGAGGAGAGGTGGGTGCAGCCAAGCTGTCAGGGGAGGTTCTGGAGATCATGACCCGCCTCCCTGAAGCCGTGGAGAAGCTGACCGGAGTCAACATCTCTCAGGTAACCCACTCACCTGGAAGCTTCTTCTTCTGTGTTTCTGTGGATCCAAGGAGGTCTAACAGGCTTTTAACCTGTTGTTTTCTTCCAGGTGACTTCTCGAACAGGCTGAAGGGAATCAGACCAATGAGCTTCTTGATATATCTGTTCTCCGTCTGTCTTGATTCCCTCCATCGTATCGTCTGCTTCCTCACCTTTGACCCTCTGTGTCACTGTTTCCCTCCGTTGGCTTGTTATTGATGTTGTTCATTATCTGAGTTAAATATTTAGACTCCTGGTATCACAGTTATAGCAAAAGTTTTGAAGTACCTTTCACTTCTTCATATCTTGTTTCCAAGGTGCCAGACCTTTTTGTGGTCTTTCAAGCTGTTTCTAGCAGCATAATTAGCTTTATTTTGTGTTTTTAAATAATGTTTTCATACGTTTAAGGCTGTCAAATTGTTGTTTTTATTTTAATTTTTTCACTTATGCACTAAAAAAAACTTTATTTGTTTAACAAAATGGTGCAATGTTCAAAATGACTAAAACAAATTATTTGCTAATAACCCCTGGATTATTTATTGTTCAGAATTAAGTAGCCAAAAAAATGAAAAACTTTTAGTTATTGGACTGAAAATGAATGTTAGAGTCCGTTTGTCTGGAAATAAAACCCACAGAAATGAAAGGTAACTCAAACTTTTGCGCATAATTGTTTTACTGCTTTAATTTCACATAAATATTGTTACTGTGTGTCTTACTATATATATAGTTACTGTGTGTCTTACTATATATATATATATATATATATATATATATATATATATATATATATATATTTTTTTTTTTTTTTTCCCCCCATCCAAATATGCAGGCTTTATTGTCTTCAGTCTCACACTACTTACTGTAATACTGATAGATTTAATGCATCTTATTAATTTTAGAAATGTTTCCCTGATAGATTAAACATACTCAACGTGTAGCTAATTTTAAAAAAATGATTTTTGTACATCTTCTGCCTGCTGTTTGTGCTTTCATGCCATGCCTCCCTCTGTGTTTACCTCCAACATCTCTGACACTGCCAGTGTCCGCTGCCTTGCTGCCAAACCTCAAGTGCATCTTAGCATGACGTTAACTGCTAACACCATTACATTAATATTTTTCATAACCTGTTTCTGACAGTCTGACAATGATATTTTTACACATTTTAGTTTTTTAAAGAGCATAAACTATTTAAAAATAACAGGTAATATATAAACTAAGATAAAGTTTGTTATGCTTATGTTTTTTGTGTTTTCTGCACTTCAGTTGTTTAATTTTCAAGCATGATTACTTAGGAGAGATTTGCTTAAAGCGAACCAGTAATTGCACTGAAAACATGCTGTCCTCAGAGCACTTCTGAAAATGAAACACAAACCATTGCAAATTACATGAAGCATGATTTTTAGACTCTGGATTGTGGTTGAAGTGCATCAATTAAACAGGTTAATTTTTTACTTGACAATCTCAAGCTTTCAGCAGGTCTCAGGTTTGACAGAGTCTAAGGCTAACAGGGTGGGTTCCTATTGGGATTTTTTGGTAAATTTCTATAGCATCTTTCAAACAGTTGAATTCTGGAGAAAAATATGACATTTTAGAAGATAAAATACTACTTGGGGATTATAAAATTAACTGTATTTTAAAGTAGTAGAGATCTGAATCCCAGACTCTGAACAACAGGAGGAAATATCTGCTAAATCTGGTCCAGATGTGACACAACTTTATGAGGATTGGTAGTCTTGATTGGTTCCTTTAATGATTCTGTAATTTACACTATATTTAATAGTTTTTTCAGGACGGTTGCATGCATATTTTTAAAAATACCTTCAAATTCGAAAATACTTTATTTACCCTAATGGGGGGAATTACATCTTATTGTTTTAACTTCTCTATATCTAGAAAACACTGATGTTCACGTTGAATCACCACTTTAATCACAACAAAATATCCTAACATGCCTTAAATCATAAACCTGTCTCTCTGCCAGCCTCTACCTCAAGTATTGGACCGGTTGCATGAAACACTTCATTGGTTTATGATTTCAATGCTTCACAGGTGAGCTTAACCTGCGAAGATGCTTCTAGCCATTTTACAGTATTTATTTGTATTTGTGTCATTTATGTATCATTTATAGAGCTGTAGGTAAAACGTATTCCAAGTGTTGCTGCCTCTTCTCTTTCCCCTCTGACCCTGCTGCTTCTTTAGTTGTGTATAAACTCTGCACTGCTGGTTACACTGCAGCCATATGTACTGAAATGGCTTTTAAGTGGTATAATTTATGTATCTGAAGACAACCACTGCTGTTTTTATGCATGCATCACCACCTATTACACTTGAATTGTATTGTATTGTATTCTTAGAGACAGTGTATGTTTGTAGCTGGGACACAGCAGGCGACCGTCACCATGGAAATGTTCATCTGCTGTGTTAGAAAAGACACTACATGTGGATTATATGTAATTTATGCAGAATATATTTGATAAAACAGTGTCCATGTAGCATCATCTGTTTCACAGGTTAACTATAGATAACTCTACTAACCTTAACAAAGATAAGCTCTATGATTATAAATGTATTAAATCTATAGTGAGTTTATTAAAGTTCTCTTGTATATGAAGCTCTGGCAGTGTTGATATTAACACGTTGGTGAATATTGTCACTGTCGGGCATTGTTGGCGTTTTGTGTTTTAATAAAATGTACTGTTCTGTATCCAATATGCTCAATAAATTTCAAAAGGAAATCACTCAAGTCTCAAGTCAGTCTCTTAAAGCTTTTGTTTTATTTTGAAGATTTTATTTTCATTAACTTTTCTATAATTGAATGTTCTACTTTCCATTGTTTTCACCTCAACTCCATAACTCTGTTAAACTCAAATATTATTTATCATCAATATTTTTGTGGTTTATAATTTAGTTAAAGCTTTCACCATAAAAACACAAATAGATGTTCTGATACAAGAATCACTGTTGGTCAATCAACTTAAAAGAACAAAAAATCTGATCAGATTTTTTGTTCTGATCTGATTTATTATCTGATGCATAATAGATCAGTTTTGGTGAGTTAAATAAGGAGTGTGTCCGTTTTGGTAGATAGATAGATAGATAGATAGATAGATAGATAGATAGATAGATAGATAGATAGATAGATAGATAGATAGCATTAAATAATAATCCATCAAAAAAGAAATGAGTGGTTCAGTATTTTTACAACACTGAACCCTTTAACGCTATATTAGGTTATATATTACAATATTACTCAGGTTATATATTACAATATTACACAAAGTCCTGCAGAAAAACGGAATAAAGACAGACCGGAAACACTGTCTAAACATTTATCAGTTTTGTCAAAATAACAAGCTAGAATCAGTTTAATACCGGAAGTGACAGTTTTGTTGTGAAAATAATTTATTCTACTGTTAAATTAGGTCACTTATTTAAAATATTTATTTATAAACACGAATGATTTAAGGTAAAAAAAATTAAACACTGAACATATGGATAAGGACCACTTAGATGGAATATATGAATTGTATGTAGATTATGGTTGCGGTTTTTATTTTGAAAGAGGTGACCGGAACCGACACCGTTAAATTGTGCGGCTTTGCTAATGAGAAAAGAACTGGAGGGAAAAAAAGAGAAAAAAACGAAGGAAAAAAAAGGCATATCTGAGAGCTTTGAGGGGTGGATTTGGACAAAGTTTCTCAACTGTCCCGTCCCGAGGAAGCTTCGGGGGGGTTGAAAGGGAGTCCAGTTCACCGGTAATTCACTCTGGGGTTGTAATTCGGTTGTAAATGCATTGTTATTTTCAGTGTGTCTGAGAGCACCGTCGTCCCCGTCGCCGGAAGTCTGCATGAAGCTGCGTCTCCAACAGAGGCTACGGCGTCGACGTTTTTTTTTTTTTTGTTTTTTTTTTTTTTTTTTTTTTATTCGACACTTTTTTTTTTCTTTTTTTATTTTCTCTGAGCGAGATGAGCAGGGAGTGAGGAATGGAGGCGTAGGGACTGAGGATGTTTGTGTTCGCAGGTTAAGCGCTTGAACACACGCAGGCCTCCAGTTTTAGCTTGAGTGAACAAGCCAACGAACAAAAGGAGAAAATTAATGGAGGCAAGTTAGCGTTAGCCATGTTTGTGTGACGCTCAGACAACAGCCTCAGCTGCGGACGGCAGCCCGCTTAGCTTGCAGCAAAACACACCCGAGCCTCCCAACATGCCTTCCGATTTTATGACAGCTTACAACCGATTTTATTTCTGCAAGCTTTCCTCAGTCACTGCTAACGTTAGCCCGCCGCTAGCTGCACCACAGTTTTAGAGCCAGCTTGTCCCTGTCGTTAAAAATGGCTCTCAGAGCACTGAAACGTTGACTTTAATGCACCGATGCGACGGCCCATCTGTTTTTAAGGCGGAGGTGTGGGTTAAATGGAGCATGTGAGGGACGAATTAATTTGACTTTGTGGATTTTTTTCCCTCATTATTCATTGGCTGCAGCAGAGATTGGAGGAGTCACATGAAAAGCAAACATACCCTGAGCTGTGCTGCATGAACGGTGCCAGGGTCTGTTTTGGTGGGGTCTATTTTTCATGGGCTTCACAAGTCTACTTCAAAGTTATTTCTTTTATAACCAACAAGTTGAGCTTTACTAACATGTAACTGCTTGCATGCCTTTTTGTGAGGTGCGAATGGAGGCAACAAATGACTATGCATGGCATCTCAATTCCAAAACTAACTTCCCTGCAGGAATTATGTGCAAAATAACATGCAAATGCATAGCGACACTGGGCAACAATGTGACATGTTGCAAAAAAATTTAGTGGATAAGATAACATTGTTTTACCAATTTAAAAAATGTGCGCTTTTACAAACATGCAAATTTAATTTCAATCACAACTTGTTCAAGCTTGTATTTTTGGTCACAGCAACACATTTTTTGAAAGAGATTAAAGTGCATGGGCTGTGCTGGTAAACACGACAACAGGCTAATCTTCATGCTTGCTTTTCTGTTTCCATCCCTGCCTGGGATGAACATCTCTGCCTGATTCCTTTCACATCCTCAGTTTAAAATATTACAGTTTGATTAAAAAAAAGACATGGAGTGTTTCCATTTTCTTTCTTCAAGACACACCTTAAATTCAAGAGTTTCTGGAAGCCTTAAGTGTTGCGTGTGTCAGGCTTTAGAGAAGAGGATGCATTGAAAGGAAACAAGCTGAGATGACAAAATACAGCAGCCATGCATGGTCTCTGTTTATGTAACACAGAAAGAAAAGACATCAGTGAAGAGGGGAAGGACAGGTGTTTTCTAAGTGTGTTGCTTTTTAATTACAGAAATAATGGACGATTCCCATTTCAACTCATCATACTTTTGGTCTCCCGTCCCCACTGTACAAGGACAGGTAGAGACAACCTTATTGTTGGAAATGTCTTGAAATGAACATGGCTTTAATGGGATTATCACTTTGTTTATAGAGCTGCTTTAAGGATTCTGTTGATGAATTTAAGCGCACAGTGAAGTTTTTTTTTTGTAATGTCTGGTGATGCATTTGCTTGATCACATGATCACTCCTGTCCCTCTCCTCTTTTATCTCTTTATTTTCTCTTTGTTTCTGTTTTTCTTTTACTTTTTGCATCTCACCATGCCTTCGTATTCTCTTTCCTCCCATCATTTTATTCTCTTCGTTCTCTTCACTAATCCCACTGTTCACTCATTCATTTCACTCTCCTCTTGTCCTGTCACATTTCAAAACCTCATCCATTCTCTTTTTTCTTCTCAATCATTCTTCTCATCCTCATACTTAACACTTTTTTCATTTTCTGCCTTTTTCAAATATCTTTTACCCCATTTTTTTGTCATTGTACATCCTTCTTAATTCTTTCTCTTCCTTCACTACTCTCCCTCTCTGTCTCCCTCATGCACCATTTTACCTTCAACATCCCACCCTTTATTTCTCCACCCTTTACACTTTACACCTCTGTCTAGATTGAGAACGCCATGTTCCTCAACAAGGCAAAGGAGCAGCTGGGTCCAGACAAGGCCAACGCGCCTCCCTTCCCTCACTCTTCTGCGTCTTCCACCTCGTCCCCTCACTACCCCACAGCTGTGCTCGCCATCCCGGGTTCGGTGGATCCAGGGACAGGGGTGCGGGTGGTCCCCAAACAGGAAGGAGGTGGGAATACTTCCGGCGGAGGAGGGGGAAACAGCGGGAACTTGAGTGGAGTAGGGGGACATCTACACCAGTCGCACACCTCCCAGAACGTCACGGTGGTTCCTGTTCCCTCCACTGGGATCATGACTGCAGGTCAGAAAAATAATTAATGAAATTAATGATAATGATATTTTTTTGTGATATTAAAAGGCAGAATGATATTAGAAAATGAGCTATATTATTATTAAGATTGGGCGATATAAGTTTTATCACAATATTTTGTAGTACTATTGCCATAATAAAAGGGACAATATTAATTATTTATAAATAATTTTTTTAGGTAATTGTATGTGTGTGACTGCATTTATATCACTAAACTGCACACATATTTTCATATTTATAGATATTTTCATTAAAAACTGTGAAAAAACTGTAAAACTAAAAATTCCAACATTACAGATCATTTTGGGAGGTTTTAAATATAATTAATTGGAATTTATTGCAACAACAATAAATCATATTTCTTATCATGATAAGACATTTATCACAGTAAATGTTAAACGATAGGATAAATGCCCATCCATAATTATTATTATTAAATCCCAACCCTTTTTGTGACCTTTAGTGTCTTGAGGCTTTTATCAGTGTTGGGCGTGGCTACATTCAGTCTAACAGACTGAATATATACTTGGCATGATACGTGAAATAGTATTGAGCTAATTGAGTTAAACCTATGAATAGAAATGTAATTATTTTCAACAGGCAGTTTGTTTCTTGGAAACTCAAATTGACAGTCATTCTGTGTATCATCATTAATTCTGGAGTATAATATTGATAGGATCCTTGTACAGTGAAATAATGAAACAATGAATAATAAAGACATCATGTCTTTTACCTGGAACAGTTACCTTTTTGACATGATGGAGATGAGTAAGAGCAGGTTTTTGTTTGTTTTTTTTCTTTTATTGACTTAAGTTTTTATAGTTTTTAAGGTTATTTGTGAAACCACTTCCAGTTTGACTTGAGGGAAATAAAGTGGTGAGTTTTTATCCCAGAGCTGCACTGGGGCCACAACCAGAGATGCCAAGATTAATAGCATCAGATAAAACTGCTAAGAAACAGGAGCTTTACTACCTACAAGCTTACACTTTAAAAATAAATGCAGAAAGTTCACTGATGCACCAGCAGCTCATGGAGCGAATGCTGTCCTGCTGCCTCCTTATTTGGAAAAGTTCATCTTCAGAATGCATTCATATTTAGAGGACCCGCTGCATTCCAAACAGTTCTTTCTGTTATATTACACATATTGTTCTTGCTGTGACTATATATTTCTAATATATTGTTTAGGCCTGATCAAAACACACATGACATCATGAACCAAAACAGAGTTTTAGGAGAAGGAGCAGCTTATAGTCACATTCATGTTCATGGACAAGGCCATTTTATTTTTATAGCTTATCGTTTGGTGATGCAAAGTGCTTTACATAAACCAAATAGCTATTGCATTGCAGTGGCAAAATATAGGAATGCAATGAAAAATTTAAATATGGACTACAGTCAAGAATGTTCCAGTTACGAAGGCAACGCTAACAAATTTATAAACAAAGACAAAGTATAAAGCAGTGATAGCATAAATAAATCAGTCGCAGTAAGAAATTAATCATTTAATCTCAAAATAAATTAAAATGAGCTCAGTTATTTCCATTTTGATGATTCATATTTTTAGAAGGACAGTTTTACTTTTATAGAGACTTCAAAATATATTTAATTTATGGTTTCAGTTGTGTGTGGTTTTTATTTCCATTCTATTGTTTTTATGTTTTATTTTGGATATTTAAAGTATCTTCCACTTCCCTCCATAATAAATATTTTACTTGAAAATTATGTCAAAATAATATGATCATTTACCGCATTTTTTTTCTTGGACAATTTATCGTCCAGTAAAATTCTATAATTTGACGGAATTAAATTAAGTTACATATAAAAACTGAAATTAACAAAAAGAAAATGGCGGATCATTTCTATAAATTCTAAACTCACAGTTCCAATGTTTGGAAACATTCAAAGAAGGGTAATCTATGAATGCATCTCTCCAGTAGTTTAGAGTTTGATTTACAAGAACCATCCTTTTTTGCTGCACTAAATGCCATGCATTGATGTAAATATAATATTTACCCAATCTGAAGGATCATCACTGTCTAGAATTCCTTCACAGCTTAATCTGAGATCTGGAACTGATTTGTGTGAAGAAAAGTTGTAATTTTTTTATTTTTAATCATCTCGTCACTTCAACAATCAACAGAATGATGCATTGTTTCCTTAGAGCGAACCGCCTGTCTCAGCTCTGGACACCTGCAGTGTAGAAAAAGACATTTTCTGTCTCTTCTCCACATGTGAGAAATGTTCAGCTGTGGTGAAACATGTTGGCCTGCCGGTTTCACAGTTTGTTTCTCCTCTCAGCGGGGTTAGTGATCACCACCCCACAAGGCACACTGGTTCCGACTGCCTCCACACAGTCGTTTGTAACTGGACCCCCCACTGCCACCACCATGATAGTGTCTGCAGTGCACCCCTCAAACACAGGTAAAACCCAGCAGGGCTCAGCTGTTAGCATTGATTTCCTTTCTGTTGTTGTTATAGTTTATCTCATATTTGTTATTTCATTTTGTAATTAAACATTTAGATGATTTACATGCAAATGTAGAGTGAATGAAACCTCCATTTTCTTTTCTTCCAGATAAGAAAGAGGATGGTGCTGTTCCTCCAGCCGTTGTCATGCCGACACCATCGAAGCGAGGCAGGAAGAGCAAACAGATGATGGGCAGAGTTGGTGGGATTCTCCCTCCAGGAAGTGATGCTTTAATCTTAGCCCATCTTGCTGCTGGTGGACAGGTGAGCTGCTTACTTTGTCATGTAAATAATGCATCATAATATCCCTTTAACCCTCATATTTTACTCTTTATGCGTCACAGCATCACTCTGCTGACCCATATGACCTGTCAAATGATGAGGATGATCATACCAGTAAAGACGGACCAAAGTCCTACAGGTACTGAGGTGCTTAGATTGGAGAAGCCTAATCAGTTTGCAGCTCATTTTTACATTTTTTAACCTTTTTTCCACAGATGTCGGATGTGTGCAGTGACGTTCTTCAGCAAGTCTGACATGCAGATTCACGCTAAGTCCCACACTGAGGCCAAGCCCCACAAGTGTCCCCACTGCTCCAAGTCGTTTGCCAACTCCAGCTACCTGTCCCAGCACATCCGCATCCACAGCGGGGCCAAGCCCTACTCCTGCACCTACTGCCAGAAAACATTCAGGCAGCTCAGTCACCTCCAGCAGCACACACGGTACTGGGCAGAGCCGGGCTGGCTCTGCAGCTTCTGATTGTTTGTGCTCGTTATCTCTGATTTTTCAGTTTAAGCATGAACCTCTGTTCAGAGTAATGGGGGTAGTCAGTCAGCTGGGGGTCGTTTGGATGAGTGTTGACAGTGTTGAGCTCTTTATGCACAGTCAAATCATGTTTAAAGGTCATAATAGATCTAATTATGACTGGATTGTTCATGTTATGGAGGTGAAAACTGTGCTGTCATGCAGCAGTCGTATGTTCCTGCTTTGCATGCCTTGGTCTGTCCCCGATCAGGTCTGTGTTTCCCAACAAGATATCTCAGTCTGTTCCTTTCATCTTCCTCACAAACGGCATCCTGTAAATGCATCAAAGATAAAAAAAAAAAATAGACATTTTGTGATGCTGGACTGGAGGAAGTGTGTTTGAATTCTCATTTCATCCATGCATTTTGTCACATTTCTTGCATGATCATCCAGAGTAAACAGCAATGCTTCTTTTCCTCTGCATTTAGTGGAATTAACATTAACTCAGTGACTATCTTACATGCTCTGATGTATCGGATCAGCTGAAATGGTTCTCATGCAAAATTCAAGAACATTCCCAGCAGATAAATGACATTGTTGCTGGTCAGTGATTTTTTTTTCTTCTGTTCAGTTCAGGTCATGTAGAGACCAAAAAAAGACCACAATGGTCAGCAGAAACATCTCCTACCTTTGACAGTCGTCTCTAGTTCATATTGTTATAAGAAAATTTAGTGGAGTTAATGTATTGGAGCAAATAATAGTCAAATCTCTGGGCGTCTTACTAAGCATTTAATTAAATTGTAGCAGTAAAAGAAACTGCACAATGTTAGAAACTCATTTAATAGCAATACATTTTGGGAAATATTACAGTGACAGTATCTGTTGCGATAAACTCACATTTTTTCTTCCTGCCGTCTTTCTAAACTCTGGTACCTGAAGCATTTTTGACATCTTTGCATCTTCTGAATATCACTCAGGACTGCAAAGTTTGGTTTATAATGCCTCAAACATGTTAGCAATCTAACTCTGCACTTTGATAAAGCTTTGATAATATATTCATCATAAGGTTTGCAGCCTTGGATCCTCAGAGTAAAGACAGTTGAAGTTGGTTTTTGGTTATGTCCATGGCTCAAACCTGATTCTATCATTTTAGAATATTTTTATTTTCTTTAGCACAGCTGCATTAGAGAGGATAAACAAAACAACAAATATCAAAGCTGACACTGAACCCACTGACCTCAATCCTGTCCTCTGAAAAATACCAAGAATATTTAAGACTTTAATCTTAAACCTGGTTGGGTCTTAAAATCTCTTTGATTACATAACTTACTCAGACATCACCAATTCTCCACTGTGATTCACTTTCAATTAAGAGACTTTAAATTAATGTCCATATGACAAAAACATCTGGTAAAGTAAATATTTGACCTTGTTGGGAATTTATAGGATAATGGGAAACTGGAAAGTCAGTTTCCTAAATCAGAGATGAACAGGACAACTGGATTTTTGGTACTGATTGTTGCTTAATCTGAATAAAACTTCATGTAATAACTTCTGCAGGGGTTGCTGCCCTCAACACAGCAAGATCAGAAACATCCAATTGTTCTTAATATTCATAAACATAAAAACTAAAACAACAAGCAGACTAAGGCATGTTTATGGCTCAGAAAGTGAAATCGTTCATTTCTTTACCCCAAAATATTTTTATTCTCCATGTTTAGTAGGTTCACTTCATTGTCACATAAAAAGAATATAAAAGATTTTATTTTTGTGTGCTCTAAATAGTGACCGTGTACAAGATATAGTGCATGACTAATATAGTTAAACTAGAAGGTACTAATTACTAATCAAAACTAATTGATATTTTACTAATCATGCATGTGGTTGCAAGTAACAAAATCACATTTCACTCATTCATGCTGCCATCATTCGACGGATGGTTTAATTTTCTGTTTGAGCTCGTCACCTCTCTTATTCATGTTTTAATTTCACTCACTGCTTTGCTCTGGGTTTCCCATGTCATCTGTAGTTCGTCCGTTTTAATCAGAATGACGTTCTCCACCTGCCTGCCACCCGTCTTCACGTTCACAGACATACCCCACTCACTGCAGGACACACCAAATGGAGAGAGAGCGAGAGAGAGAGAGAGAAAGGAAAGCGTGACTGTGCTTGCTGTATGTTTGTTCTGTGTTTACATAACTCAGACGCAGCACAAAGAGCACACTGTCAAACGTAGCGATCTGCGATCAGAAGTATTGATCGTAGATCCTTTTAAACTTTTAACGCATGATTTGATCTTCGGTTCGTCGGGAAGTTTGGTCATGCTGTAGCTTAAAAGTCTCTCGCTGTTTCTCTCTCTCTCTCTGTGTTTCTCTCTCTCCATCCCTTCCCCTTCATCCCCTCCGATCCCGGCTTTCCGTGTTAGAAACCACACTGAGGCCAAGCCCCACAAGTGTCCCCACTGCTCCAAGTCGTTTGCCAACTCCAGCTACCTGTCCCAGCACATCCGCATCCACACGGGGGCCAAGCCCTACACCTGCTCCTACTGCCAGAAAACATTCAGGCAGCTCAGTCACCTACAGCAGCACACACGGTACTGGGCGGGGCCGGGCGGGGCTTACTCCAGACAAAATCCTTGAAAATACTTGAATTTTATTGGGTGTTTTCAAGGTTTGGAAAGTGTTTGATTTCTGTGTAAAGTCCTTAAAAGTGTTAGCTATTCAAAGTGACAGTTTTGGTACTAAAGTGCGATCTAACGTTTGATTTAAAGCCTAATTTTGAAAAACGTTAACGGTTAAAACCAGATATTTTCATACACCTAATAAAGAGACACATTTTTTTCCTAAAGTTTGTCTAAAGTTAAATCAGGCTAAACTTCTCTTGTTTGGAGAATTACCAAAATTATTCCTAATTTTGAAATGCCAGAAAACTTAACGGAAACATTTTTAGATGCTTTTTTGGTAACTTAGTTTGTATATTATTTTAATCATTTAATTTGAGCAGGAAGTTGATTTGGTTGGATTGTTACAATGTAATGAATATTTATTATTCCTAATGTTTCAATGACTTATTGATCAGTGTGATTGAAATAAAGATTGGCTTATATTTTATACTTTAAACAAAGTTATTGAAATTGGGAGTTTCAAAACAAAATGTAGTTATATTTTAGTCTACCACGTCACAAGACATTACTAATAAACGTAATTAATGATTTCGTAGTGAACTGAAACAGTCTCTTTTAGTTCACTTGTATTGTTTTTATCTAAAAATTTGGTGAAAATTAAGAAAACTTGCACTGAAAATGCTTGAATTTTGCTGTAGGTAGAGTGTGTGGACCCTGTGCATGTTTGGAGCAGGTTTGTGAAGATTTGTTGTTGATTATTTAATCATTGTGAGAATTATATATTTACAGAAAATTTGGAAGGAATTTAGCTTCATGCAAATTTTAAGATTTAATTCAACTTTATGTGATTAGAAATGATCTATTTGTTTTGTGGAAGAGAAAGTAGATGAAAGAAGAAATAATATATTGCATGAGGAATGTTTTCATTTAGTCATCAGAGGTATGCAGGACTACTTCATGGAGCCTGCTCTTAAACTTTACTTTTGTGCAAAATAAATATATTAAATGGACTAATTTGATGTTTTCTTCTCTCAGGATTCACACTGGTGACCGACCATACAAGTGTAACCATCCTGGCTGTGAAAAAGCTTTCACTCAGTTGTCCAACTTGCAGGTCTGGAATCATTTTCTGACATCCTGTCACATTCATAAAATCATTTCTTACCCCTCTTGTGTGTGTGTGTGTGTGTGTGTGTGTGTGTGTGTGTGTGTGTGTGTGTGTGTGTGTGTGTGTGTGTGTGTGTGTTTTTCCCCCAGTCTCACCGTCGGCAACACAACAAAGACAAGCCCTTCAAGTGTCACAACTGTAACCGTGGTTACACAGACGCTGCCAGTCTGGAGGTTCACCTGTCGACGCACACCGTCAAACACGCCAAGCTGTTCTCCTGCGGCCTCTGCAACAGATCTTACACATCGGTACGCTTTCAGATGAGAGGAAGGTTACACAATGACCTAAAAATTAGATTATTCTCACTTTATATTTCCAGATATTTGCTGGAATTCTGTATGGAGAATTGTCAATGTAACCTTTGAGCCAGGAAGATTTTTTTCTTTTCTAGAGCTGCACAATATTTCAAATTGCACTTATAAAGGAATACTTGGATCCAGTTTATTATTCTGTGTCATTATGTAAAAGTTGGATCTATGGGTCTTAAATCATCTATCTTTTGTTCGTCTATCATTTGTCATCCTATTTCACCTGCTGCCTTCCTTCCATCTGTCTTCCAGTTTGTAGTTCTTTGGGTTTCCATATTTGAAACATTACATAAATTTGCCATAAAATCACTGCAGAAACAAAATCTTACCAAGTAGTTTTATCAAGTTTCTAGAGCAAATAACTTGAAATAAGACAAAACTAACATACAGGTAACTTTTCTTTTTAATTATTGAATATTGATTAAAAAAAATTAATGTCTCCTTTGGCAGATTTTTTCACTTGTAATATGAAAAACACTTGTTTTCTATATTTTTAACATGTTTTGAGAAGGAAAAGGGTTTTTTGCAGTGTTTGTGTAAAAGACTATTAGAGCACTTTAAAAATGACCAAGTACAGAGAAGTCTGTGAATGTAATTCAGGGAAAGTAGACAATTTGAGATGAAAGATGTGCAGAAAACTCAAATCTAAGCAATATTTCATCTAAATCTTTAGCATAGAAAAGTTATTATTTATAAGTAACTAAAATAATTTGTAGTAGTAATTAATAAATACTATAATTCTGTTCTAAACCTAACCATATCAGGTCAAAACTTAGCTAAACTAATGAACACATTTTGTACAACTAATAAATGATGTTTCCTTTTTATCTTTTTCTAGGAGACGTATTTAATGAAACACATGAGGAAGCACAACCCCGACCCGTTAACGGTGGCAGCGACGGTAGCCGCCCAGCAGGCCCAGGGCCTGACGCCAGGAGGAGGGGGGCGGGGCCGGGGCCGCGGTCGAGGCAGAGGCAGAGGAAGTCAGCTCCAAAGCCAGAACAACCCAAACAACGCCAACCAGAACCAGAACCCCGGACCCCCGGGCAGTTACCAGCCCACCCAGCAACCCCCGGAGGGCGTCGTTCCGTGCCCCTTCGATCTGCACCAGTACAAGACAGTGTCGGCCAGTGAGATCCAGTATAAACCCGTCAGCGTTGGCGACCTGCCGGTGACCCATAAAGACCTCTGTCTAACCGTCTCCACGTCAGCCATCCAGGTGGAGCACATGAACTCGTAGGCGGCATCCTGCGGCTCCGGTTGGGACAGGACTAATAATCTGCAGTGTAAAAAGCTCCATTTGATTCACCGTCTCTCATCTTTACAGTCTTCTAAAAGCAAAACTAGAAACATGGCTAAGAAAGGAGAAACTGTTACCATCCTCATCAGCCATCCGACTCCAGTTTTTATTTTCACCGTCAAGTAGCTCTGAAGGACGATTAGAAAGGGATCGGAGTGATATTGCGATACAATCAGGAGATGGAAGTTCAGTTTGGTTCACCTGATTCTGAAGCTTTAAAGCCGGAACAACTTTAGGCTCCATGTTGGTTCACAGATAGCCTAGTGTTGAGTTCAGGTTCCTCCGAGACGAGTGGGAAAGCAGGTTCCAGCTGGTGGAAATGGGTTTGCACATCTAATACCTGGAAAAATCACTTTTGGCTTTGAAATCATAAATTTGGGTAAAAATAAATCTGCATTAAGTTTCACCTGTAATGCTTTGGTTGAGCTGCAAAACACACAAATATCTGGTCTTAAACCAACCTTTGAGATAACACTGTTAGATGAAAACTGTAAATTATCTGTGAAATGAAAAATAATACTACTTTCTGGAAGTTTAGGGGTAAATTTGCAGATTAAATTCTTCTTGAAATACTCCCAACAAGCCAAAAAAGGAAGAGTAAAGACAAATAAACATTTATAAATGGTAAAAATTCCTAATGAAATGGAAGTGGGAGCACTTATTTAATCTGAACACAGAATATGGATAAGATTTCAGTGGAATAAGGGAGCAAGTTATTTTTCCTTCTAAATGTCAATAAATTAATTTTACAAATCACCATTAAACATCAGAAGATTGAAGAATGAAGGAACCATTTTGTTTTCAGAGCCTGAAGTCCTGAACAAAAACAAACCGAGTTCAACAAGAATGTACTAAACCTGAGGAATCTGCAGCAGAGCGAGCGGAGGACAGGAGGAGTCCTACAGAAAGCACTTGATGAAGCTCGTTCTTCACGCCTATGTTTGTCATTGTTTGTCTTTTTTTTATATATATATATAAATCATGTTTGTATTTTTCTACCGACAGAGGAACATACAGAGAGAAAGCAGAGTGAGTGCATGAACGTGACGGAAAGAAAGTGTTTAGTTGTTTTCTTATTCTAAGTGGAGCGGTTAATCTTCCTCCTGTGGGCGACGAGAGCCCGCCCCGCTCTTATCAGGGGGTTGATGGGAAATAATGATTGTGTGATAAACACGGCTGACAGGTACTGTTATCGACCTTTTCTTTTTTAAGAACTTTTCATACATATTATTATTACTTTCATTATAACTGTAGTGCAAATGTTATCCACAGTATATCCACTCTGAGGCATTATGGTATTGCAGTATGCTGTACATAAAATAGATAGAAAAGACTTTTTCATCTGTAAAAGGGAAGTATGTCTCGTGTACAGAATATATGAAAACACACCCAAACCACAGACTGTGTCCCAGGTCCGGTACTGAAAATAATTAGGAGTTATTTTCTTTAAATACAACCATTTATGATTTAACTTTGAATAATTGAGTCTCTTTAGTTATTAAATCTCTTTTGACTAATTATCACTAATGTTTTTCTTTTCTAGGCTAATGAAGGCATAGTCATTTTCAGTCATGTAGAAAATAAGTGAAAATTGTTTTGCCAATCATAAAAAAAATACAACCTGTTTTTATTTTAAAAAATTAAAAAATCAATTAGCAGTGCTGTGTAAAATAAATCCACTGCATTCAGACTCCTAATTGACCTGCTAATATGTTTAGACAGATATTAAATGGTGACCTGGGACACTGCAAACTGTCGATCCAATCAAAATGTCCAAGCAGCCTGTACAACAAGCCAATGGTCTTCATGTATACTCAACTTTGTATGTCTCTGTGTCTTTTTATGAAAAAAATGACCTGGCAATGCTCCTGGTAAACAGTTAACTGTACTATGTTACATACTGTATGCACAGTTAAAGCTCCTACTCATCTGAACAGACTGTTTCTTCTTCCCTTATGGAGAATAAAATTCAAAAACTTTATGACTGAAGGCCATGATTGATTTATTCAGCTGAAATCCAATCTGCAGGGTTTGCTATTTTTGTAGATTAATTTCAGAGTTAAGTTGTGCTTGATTCTTACTTTCACATGATAAATTGTCAATTATTTATTTGCATAAGATGTGCCATAATCAGTGCAATGATATGAAATATTTTCTTCAGGTTTTTGTGTGAAAGAGCATTGAAAGTATCTTGGGATATTTTCTTTCATTCTCTAACTGTGATAATGTGTGAATTCATGGGTTAGCTATGTGCTAATTTGATGTCAGCACAATTCAAAATACCAGAGTTTTCACAGAAGTGTCCAATTTAAGCACAGAATTGTACTTACAGGATGAAAATTGAAATTATATATTTGAAACAGGTCAGACATAGGATTCCTAAGAATTTTTATTTAAAAAATGTAAAATATATTGATATTTAAATTTCTTATTTATTGGCTAAATGTTCAAGTTATGATTAGGCAATTTTTTTTATAATTCATACAATGTTAAAGGTTTGGAGTCGAGTTACCAACTTTTAACATTCAAGAGATAACATGTCTGCTAATTTTTTAGCATATGTATATATATTTTTTCAAATACTTGTTAGGTTTTTGTTTTCTCTGCCCAAAAAAGGTACATAAAGGCCACGTTTAACAAGGGTGCTTTTAACAGTCTTTCATATATTGCAATCAACTTTGTCATTTTATCCTTGTTTATTCAAGTTATTCACGTCCAGACTAGGAAAACTATTTTCTAAAAAATAATTTTGAGGAATATTATCTAACTCTTACCTGTGTCCGGGTTTTGCCTTATGCACGGAGTTTACCGTACAAACAGTGTGTATCCCGCCCCACCAGGACATGCAGTTAGACATAACAAACGTACACATAAGAGGAGGCGGAGTTTACCCTGTGTCAGCCAATCACGACAGAGAATCCGAAGCGCTCACCGAAACGGTTACATTTCAAATTCAAACGGACGGAAACAGCGGATCGAAAGGGACACAGGGTGAAGCTACAGATTTGTTTATAGTACGTTGTTTTTAATAGATCTTTTTTGACTATTTTAACTGTTGAATAGTGGTTTAGAAGTCACGCTTAAACGAGTTCTGCATACCGTAGTTTTATAAGTTAACGTTAGTTTAATTTTAATGTTAAGCTAAAAGAAGCTCACATCAGTAACAACGCGGACGTTGGTTACAGAAGGATTAGACGGGACGAGGTAATCTGGACTAAGTTTAAATTATTTTTCTGCGAGTTGACCCACGTACAAGGGAAAAAACCTGATGTATAGAAGAACTTGTTCTGCCTCCTCCGTTAGTAACACACCCTAAAAACTCTGTGCACTGGATACTTTTATTGAAATTAAGCTTGTTTTTCTCGTTTTATGCTAATTTAGTATTCGAGTCCTTTGTGTTTACACTGAAAGGTTCTGAGTCAGAAACTCTAGAAACGGGTTGCATGTTTGTTTGGATTGACAGGAACGTGAAAAAGATTTATGACATGATCTAGTAATTATATTTAAATCCTATCTGTGCTAAATATTTAATATTTACATGATTAACGTTATATAATGTTTTTGACTATTTATTTACTGATATTTGGATTTTAATGTATAGATTTGAGCAAAAATCTAAAAGTAATTGTTTTGTAGATTTTCTTGATACTGTACAATATTTATGTTCTTCATACTACTCCTTTTCATTCTAAACTTTAATTCATGTCAACACGTGTCATGTTTATTTTAAACTAGAAATGAATGAAATAAACAAAATGATAAGAAGTTTATAATGTAAAGTAGTTGGATTATCTTATCAGTGTGCTGAGCACTGCTTAGATTTTCTAACAGTTTTAAGGTATCTGATGTGTGGCTCTCCTTCAGCTTCCACACCTTTACTGCTCTTGTTTTTTTGTCTGTCTTGTAAAATTTTAGTCGCCTTTCCTCTGCCAGCTAACCAGCAGCAGACTCCTGCTAGGTTGTGACCTTTCTTTTCTGTTGTGATTTCTCTATTTTGACCGTTTCACTGTCCTCAGCTAAGTATGTCCAGGCTTCCGGTCATTTTATCGAAGAGAGTTCTCGCCCCCAGCAGCTCTGAAAATTTGCTGGACATGGCTCCTCTTCAGGTTTGTGATGAAAACGCTTCCTACATTTCAGTTTGATTCTGTCAGAAGCTGTAGAGAATATGCTTTTTCAGTTTTCATTTTGATGCATAAGTTTGAGTGAAGTTTGCTTATGAACCAGAATATGACTTAGTGATGGTCCTTTCTGTGGTTTTGTTGTGTTTTTGCAGAAGAGAATGCGTAAGGAACAGGAGCCCCACAAACCTCAGGCAGCTACAACCATTGTAGGTTACAAGCGGCCCGCTGCTGCAGCAGCCAGAGCTCCACCCTGTACGTTGTTTAAGAATTTCTCCATGTTCAGCACCTAACCACCACCAACAGCAGTGAACAGATCTCATTGTCTTAATTGTTTGGTTTTTATCAACAGACAGACCAATTAGAGGTGCAGGAGCTGCCACGGTGGCTGCTGGCCCTTCCAGAGGTCAGATGTCCTCTTATCTCTGCACAATAACCCAGTGTTTGTAGCAGATGGTGGTTCTGATGGCGATGCCTGAGTATAATGTTATGGTTCTGTTCTGTCAGGATTCGTGAAGCCGGTTGCTGCTTCCACTGCTCCCAAAGCCGGCAGCAGTAAACAACCTGCAGGAGCAAAACCTGGTGAGAAACTGTTTACTGTCGTCCACCTTAATGGGTAAAACTCTGGAAAATGTCTTTAGGTTCATCAATATATTAGCAATATTCAAAATATTTGCTATTCCAGAACTTTGATGTTTTGTTTGGAGATGCTGATTCTGGATTATCGAAGTTTTCTTTTTAATGTACATGCAATAGAAAAAAGCTCAAGCATATGGATAAACATGTTTATAGATATATATATATATGTATATGTTTGAACAAGATGAGGATCATCTCATCCTGCTCAGATAACTTGGGAATCAATACCATCTTTTTTTAAGCTTCACTGATTAATATAATTTATAAATGTAAAGCTGAAGCTGCTAAATTCAATAAATCAAATTTAATTTTGACAAAGTGGGAGAAACATCTGAAATTCTTGTGCAGGTGTGACTGGAGCCACCCGCCGCAAGCCATGGGACCTGAAGGGGAAAGTTAATGACATGGAGGGTAAGATCCGCAACTACCAGACCAAGTACAGGTCTGTAAACGAGGAGAACGAGGCGCTGAAGGACTCCGTGGCTCAAAATCAAACCAAAGTGTCTGAGCTGGAGCAGGAAGTCGAGGGACGGAAGAGGAAAATCGGGTATGAGCAGATTATATTGGAGAAAATGAGTTGAGTGTAGATTTATTATTTTTATATGATGCTAACTTTGGATTCCTGGCTGGTTTAGTGAGTATGAGGCGCAGCTGCAGATGTTGTCTGGAGTTCAGAATCAGCTTGAAGAAACTCGGAGAGAGAAGAACGTCCTCCAGAAGGAGCTCTCCAATTTAGAGCAGAAATACAAGGTCATGGAGACGCTGCGGGACAGCCAGGAGACGGAGCTGCAGACTCTGAAGGTAAAGCAGAATCTGCTCCGACCTGCTGGTTCTGGATCGGTCCAAACACCTGAAGGATACGATGCTATAACAACTACACCTGGTTAAAGGGTTTAACTTTTAGAGAACTGAGGAGATGTGACTTTTGTTTATGATGGATATTTTGAAAATATACGGAAATTAAGTTTTATTTGTTTAAGCCTGTCACAATCGCATAATAGATTAAAATAAGATCATTTTCATGTGGACAACCATTGTTGGACATGCTACCCTTTAATATGTTTTTTAAATTAAAGTCCTAACTGGCACGTTTGTTTTTTCCCTGTCAAAGTTGACTGATATGACAGACTTCATAACTTTAGTATTATTGTATTTTAATTCATTTTGGTTATGTTAAATGTTCTTTATAAATTAAAGCTTTTTTCAGTCTTGAAGAATGTAGCAGCTTTAATATGTCATTTTCATTACAGCATTTGAAAATGGTCCCAAACTGACAATATTATTGTTTGTTGCAGTAATTTTGAGACAATTTATCATCTAGTGAAGTTTATCGTGACATGCCTGATTTTTGTTTTGTTTCCTCTGCAGATGAAGCTCTCTGTGCAGGAATCAACGATGACCCGACTACAGGCCAACCTGAGAGACAGAGAAGAAGAAATCAGCTCCCTGAAGGAAACGGTGGCGGAGCAGAGAGACGAGCTTCACGCCGGGGAGATGGAGCGCCGGCGGCTCCACAACACCATCCAGGAGCTGAAGGCGAGTCGCCGCTCACCCCTGAAGGCCCAAAAGATCTGGGTCCAATCTGTTTTATTTAACTGCTGTTTGCACCGGTTAAATTTAATGTCTACCGTTGAAGAAAGCTGAAAAGAGAATCGTTTTGTGTTTCAGGGTAACATCAGGGTGTTTTGTAGAGTTCGTCCACTAGAAGACGGAGGCCTGAGTAAACACATCCAGCTGGCAGCCAGCGACAACAAGTCTATAATGCTGGCCAAAACTGAGGAGGTGGGAATAATGTAGCAAAGATCTGCTGCTTATCGCCATGCCAACACAAAGATATCAGACTGTTTAAACTGATCTTCCTTTTTTCTGCCCTTTAGTCTCATACGGGTAAAACGGCCGAGATGCAGAAGAATTATCACTTCAGTTTCGACCGGGTGTTCGGGCCTCTGGCTTCACAGCAGGAGGTGAGCAACATGCGGAAGACATCATCTCCTCGTTAACAACACCTGCTGTGATTCTGTCTGTTCTGAGCTGCAGAGGAAAGGCCTCATGGGAAGGTTTTGTTTTCAGATCTTTGACGAGATCTCCCTGCTGGTGCAGTCAGCTCTGGATGGGTACAACGTCTGCTGCTTTGCCTACGGCCAGACAGGAAGTGGGAAAACCTACACCATGGAGGGAGAGGAAGTGGACGACATGAGGGGCGTCATTCCCAGAGCCGTGCAGCAGATCTTTAGAGCCGGGGAGAAGCTGAGCTCTCAAGGCTGGGAGGTTAGCTTAGCTTCACCTGATTCAGTTGTTTTTAACGTTAACTAATGAAGTTCGCTTAGACCTTCTTTTAGTTTTGTAGTTTGGCCACCATCCTGCAGAGGGTGCCACTGGTCAACCTTAAGCAAAGCCAGTTCATACAGAAATAAAGATGGCGAGACCATAACATAGCGGGAAAGGGAAATGGTCCAAACAGAGTCTAGTTTGGGATGCAAAATGTACTTTATGTTGTTCTATTTAGAAATATAAATACTCAAAAAGCTCCTTATGTTTCACCTTAATGGTGCGCAATAAGATGAGCTGCAGGGCTGAGCAGCGACAACTTATCATTCAAAAATTATTGATTTATTACAAAGATGTGATGACAAAGCAGAGGGAATGTCAGAAAAAAGTAACATGTTTGAGAAAAACATGATAATGTTCATCTTGAGTTAATGCACTTAATGGAGCAAAGTTTTAACATTCCTCTAAGAACAACTAAAGTACTTATGTATGAACATCTCTCTGTTCATGGATACTTAAGTGTTTTGCATATTTCATTTTAATTTTTTTTTATTTTTCTATTCAGCAACCTGAGGTTCCTGTTTTATTTATAATTAATGTTTAAGCTGATAACATTTAAAATATATTTCTCACAATTTTATAAATAATGTGAGAAACCAATTTTTTTTATTCGGAAAAGCATGCGTTAGAAACAATTTCTGTGTACAATTCAGTTTCCACCACACTGAAAGTGTGTGACGGACTAACATTTGCTAATCCAGGGTTTTTTATATAATAACCAAACAACTAGAAGATTTCTGAAGAAATTTAAATGGGGCCTGCTAAAGTGAACCCCTTGGTTGGGACCCAGCATCCTGATGCTAAGAATTAGCATCAATGCTAAGGTGAGCTACAATGTTCCCTTAGCTATTTTTTTATTATCATTCTTAAATAAAGGAAGTAGCTAAAAAGCTTATTTCAGGGGAAAATCCAGGGAAAAGGCACCTCCTGCTAATGTTTGCACTAATGTTAATGCAGTGCCTCCTGATTTTTACTTTTGCAAAAGTAAAAGTCAGATGTTTACTTCGTGGCACTTGGTTAC